GTTTTTTTTTGGGTTCAGGTTATCACTTAGCTTCTCTAGAATCACAGACTATATGCTCAGTATCCTTTGTTTATAGCTATTATCCACTTACGAATGTGTACATACTATATTTATACTTTTGGGTCTGGGTTACATTACTCAGGATAATGTTTTCTAATTCTATTCATTTGCATGCAAACTTCCAGATGTCATTGTTTCTTTACCGCTGAGTAGTACTCTAATGTGTAAATGTTCACATTTTCTTTATCCATTCTTCAGTTGAGGGGCATCTAGATGAGTGTTGGGACAAAATCACAGGTTCCCATTACAGACTGTATCATGAGAATTCTGCCCTTAGCAGAAAGATGCTTCTATCATTCTTATACTAAAAAGAAAACAACTAATTATTTATAAGAGCTACAGAAGCATACAGAGAAATATCTAGTCATTAAATTATGGATGTATGGTTTAATTTTATAAAAATCTTAACATTTACCTCTATGAAAAATCTAGAAGCCAGATTCTTTCTTTTTATTTGAATTTTTATTACTTTATAAATAATACCAATCAAAATTTCCGCTTCCTCCACTCTTCCCACTTCCCTCCTGCTCCCCCACATGCCCTCTCTACCTCCCTCTCCAGTCCTGAGAGAGCGCTAGGTACGCTGCCCTGTGGGAAGTCCAAGTGCCCCTGACTACATCCAGGCTTAGGATGGTATGCATTCAAATATAAAAGGATCCCTAAAAGCCAGTACATGCAGTAGAGACACATCCCAGTGCCATTATCATTGGCTTTTCAGTCTGTCCCAATTGTTAGCCACATTCAGATGGTCCTGTTTGGTCCCATGCTCATTCAGTCCTAGTCCAGCAGGATTTGGTGAGCTCTCATTAGCTCAGGCACACTGTCTCGGTAGGTGGACCAACCCTACCTGGTCATGACTTCCTTGCTCATACTCTCCCTCCTTCTGCCCTTCAGGTGGGTCTCTATATCTATCTCCATCCATTGTCAAACGAAGATTCTATGGTGATATTCAAGATAGTCATCAGTCTGACTATGGGACAAGGCCAGTTCAGGCACCTTCTCCTCCACTGCCCAGGGTGCTAGCTGGGGTCATCCCCGTGGACTTCTGGGAACCCTTCAAGAGCCAAGCCTCTTGCAAACACCAAAATGGCTCCCTCAATTAAGATATCTCCTTCCCTGCTCCCATATTAATCCTTCCTCCATTTCAACCATTCCACTCCCACAAAGTCTCCCAAGCCTTTCCCTTCTTCCCACTCTATCCCCCTCTCCACTTCCCCCCACCCCACCCCCACTCAACCCCTATGCTCCCAACCTTTGCCTGGCAATCATGTCTGCTTCCAATTTCCAGAAAAAAATATATATGTTTTTCTTTAGGTTCACCTTATTACTTAGCTTCTCTAGGCTCACGAACTTTAGGCTCAATGTTCTTTGTTTATGGCTAGAGTCAACTAATGAGTGAGAACATACCATATTCATATTTTTGTGTCTGGGTTATCTCACTCAGGATAGTGTTTTCTATTTCCATCCATTTTCATGCAAAATTCAAGTCGTCATTGTTTTTTTTACCACTGAGTAGTACTCTAATGTGTAGTGTGCTACACTTTCTTTTTCCATTCTTCTATTGAGGGGCATCTAGGTTGTTTCCAGGTTCTGGCTATTACAAATAATGCTGCTATGAACATAGTTGAATAAATGCTTTTGTAGTATGATTGGGCATCTCTTGGGTATATTCCCAAGAGTGGTATTGCTGGATCCTGAGGTAGGTTGACTCCCAATTTTCTGAGAAATCACCACACTGATTTCAAAAGTGGTTGCACAAGTTTGCATTCCAACCAGCAATGGATGAGTGTTCCCCTTACTCCTTATCCTCTCTAGCATAAGCTTTCATTGATATTTTTGATTTAGCCATTCTGTGAAATATAAGATGGTATATCAAAGATGTTTTGATTTGCACTTCTCTGATAGCTATTGAAGTTGAACATGTCCTTAAGTATCTTTTCGCCATTTGAACTTCTGCTGAGAATTCTCTGTTCCTTCAGTACCCCAATTTTTTTAATTGAGCTATTTGGAATTTTAATGCCCAGTTTTTTTTTTGAGTTCTTTATATATTTTGGAGATCAGACCTTTGTCTGATGTGGGGTTGGTGAAAATCTTCTCCCATTCAATAGGTTGCCTTTTTGTCTTAATGACTGTGTCATTTGCTTTACAGAAGCTTCTCAACTTCAGGAGGTCCCATTTATTCATTGTTGTCTTATTGTCTGTGCTAATGGGGTTAGACGTAGGAAGTGGTCTCTTGTGCCCATGTATTGCAGGCTACTTCCCACTTTTTCTTCTATCTGGTTCAGTGTGGTTGGATTTATATTGAGGTCTTTAATCCATTTGGACTTGAGTTTTGTGCACGGTGATAGATATGGATCTACTTTCATTCTTCTACAGGTTGACATCCAGTTATGCCAGCACCATTTGTTAAAGATGCTTTCTTTCTTCCATTGTATAATTTTAGCTTCTTTGTCAAAAATCAGCTGTTCATAGATTTGTAGATTAATATCCAGGTCTTCTATTCTATTCCATTGGTCAGCATGTCTTTTTTTATGCTAATACCAAGCTGTTTTTGTTACTATAGTTCTTTAATAGAGTTGAAGTCAGGGATGGTAATTCCTCCAGAAGTTTCTTTATTGTATAGGATTATTTTGGCTATCCTTTTTTTTATATAAAGTTGATTATTGTTCTTTCAAGGTTTGTGAAGAATTTTGTTGGGATTTTGATGGGGATTGCATTTAATCTATATATTACCTTTGGTAGGAGAGTCATTTTTACTATGTTGATTCTACCAATCCAAGAGCATGGGAGCTCCTTCAACTTTTTGGTATCTCCTTTAATTTCTTTCTTCAAAGCCTTACAGTTCTTGTCAAATAGATCTTTCACTTCCATGGTTGGTTTTACCCTAAGATACTTTATGCTGTTTGTAACTATTGTGAAGGGTCATGTTTCTCTGAGTTCCCTCTCCATTTCTTCAACCTTTGTGTAAAGGAGGTAACTGATTTTTTTTTGAGTTGATGTTGTATATCCTGCCACATCACTGAAGGTATTTATCAGCTGTAGAAGTTCTTTTTTAGAATATTTGGGGTTACTTATGTACAATATTATATCATCTGCTAGTAATGAAAGTTTGACTTCTTTCTTTCTAATTTGAATCCCCTTGATCTCCTTATGTTGTCTTATCGCTATTGCTAGAACTTCAAGCACTATGTTGAAGAGATATGGAGAGAGTGGACAGCCTTGTCTTGTTTCTGATTTTAGTGGAATGGCTTTGAGTTTCTCTCCATTTAATTTGATGTTAGCTGTTGGCTTGTTGCATATTGTTTTATTATATTTAGGTATGATTCTTGTGTTCTTAATCTTTCCAAGACCTTTATCATAAAAAGGTGTTGAATTTTGTCAAATGCTTTTTCATCAAATGAAATGATCATATAGTTTTTTCTTTCAGTTTATTTATATAATGGATTACATTGATAGATTTTCTTATGTTGAACCATCCCTGCATCTCTGGAATGAAGCCTACTTGATCATATGGATGATTTTTTTTGATGTTTTCTTGGATTTGGTTTGCCAAATTTTATTGAGAATTTTTGTATCGATATTCATGAGTGAGATATGTCTGAAATTCTCTTTCTTGGTCAGGTCTTTGTGTGGTTTTGGTATCAGGGTAACTGTACGTTCATAAAAAGAGTTTGGCAATGACATTTCTGTTTCTGTTATTGGATCATATTAAGGAGTATAGGTATTAGCTCTTCTTGGACGTTCTGGTAGAATTCCACACTAAAACCATCTGGCCCTGAGATTTTTTTTTGGTTGGGAGGTTTTTGATGACAACTTCCATTTTCTTGCAACTTATAGGTCTATTTAAATTAGTCACTTGGTCTTGATTTAATTTTGGTATATGGTATTTATCTTAAAAAGTCCATTTCTTTTAATTTTCCAATTTTGTGGCATACAGGCTTTTGTAGTAAGACCTAATGATTCTCTGAATTTTTTCAGTGTCTGTTGTTATGTTCCCCTTTTCATTTCTGATCTTGTTAATTTGAGTGTTCTTTTTCTGCCTTTTGATTAGTTTGGATGGGGGTTTGTTAATCATATTGTTTTTCTCAAAAACCAACTCATTGTTTCATTGATTCTTTGGATTGTTTTCTGTGTTTTCATTTTGTTGATTTCAGCCCTTTGTTTGATTATTTCCAGTCTTCTCCTCCTCCTGGGTGAGCCTGCTTCTTTTTTTTCTAGAGCTTTCAAGTGTGCTGTTTAGTCTCTAATGTGAGCTTTCTCCATTTTCTTTATGTGGCGCTTAGTGCTATGAACTTTCCTCTTAGCACTGCTTTCATAGTGTACCATTGGGTATGTTGTGTCTTTATTTTAGATGAATTTAAGGAAGACTAATTTCTTTCTTTATTTCTTCTTTGACCCGGGGTTGTTCAGTAGTTGACTGTTCAGTTTCCATGAGTTTGTAGCCTTTCTGGGGGTGGTATTATTGTTAAATTCTACCTTTATTCCATGGTGATCTGATAAGACACAGGTGGTTACTCCATTTTTTTCTTTTTTCTTTTTTTGTATCTGTGGATATTTGCTTTGTTACTGAGTATGTGATCAATTTTAGATAAGGTTCCATGAGATGCTGATTAGAAGGTATATCCTTTCCTGAAGCAGGCTTTTTTGGGGAATCCGAGGACTTTGAAAGGACAGGCTTAGGGACAGGGTGGAATGGGGTAAAGAAAGCCAACAGCAGCGACCACATCCCACTGGATGGCCATAAAAGCTAAGGGGATTGGCTGGAGCATGGATTCTGTCCCCTGGACTGCTCCAGAGAGCGGCACTTCAGGCTGTCTTGTTGTGTGTGTCCAAGCCAGACTCTTTCAATATACATTTTCCAAAAAAAGTAAAAGTTTAATATTTCCATTTGCTTGAAGAACAGGGGCATAAAATTAAGTTATTTATTTTATGTTCAATAGCAGCAGTATGGTTTAGATAATTCTGGATGATACAGACAACAGCAGCTACTGTTCTATCTCTTCTTGGAGATAGAAGTTAACAGGAGAAGAATGCATCCCTCTGAATTTCACAACAGAAAAGCAGATATGATGGAATCAATAGCTATTGGTATTGATGACAGAAAAACAAAAACTTCCGGTGAGTGCTTGAAAACACAAGCTGCAGTTTACTGTTGCATGTGCCACTGGAGTAATAAATTTAATGTTTCATATACCACTGGGGTAATACAATCATTGATTTGCTGGATTATCCTTCAACAGTTTTTATATTTTGAGGTGAGATTGTATCTTTTCTGATTAAAGCTATGTTTCCTTGTGCCAGATATGTATATGAATCTCTAGGTTGAAGCTTTTTTTTCAAAAAAATATGTTTTATATATTTAATGATTTTTTTAAAAATCTTTTTTAAATTTCATTTTACATTCATGGGAACAGAGGAGAGGGGAAAGCTTACTTAAGAGAAAGAGATAATAAGTGAATTTTATTTTAGAGTCTTAAAAGTTATATTATATTCTGTGATCCCAGTAGAAAATGAACTCTTTTTTTTTCAAAGTTTATTAAATTATGAAAGTTTCCATTTCCGCCCCTCCTCCCAACACCCTCCCACTCCCCCCTCCCCCTCCTCCTTCCTCTCCATCCCTAAGAGCAGTCAGGGCTTCCAGCCCTGTGAGAAGTTCAAGTTCCTCCCCGCCTCCCTCCAGGTCCAGGAAGGTGAGTATCCAAACAGACTGGATCCCGAAAATCCAGTATATACAGAGGAAACAAGTCCCAGTGTCATTGTCAGTGGCTTTTCAGAAAGGCTCCGGGCCAGCCACATTCAGAGAATCCGACCACATTCAGAAAATCTGGTTGGGTCACATGCTCGTTCAGTCCCAGTCCAACTGGCCTTGGTGAACTCTCATTAGATCAGTCCCCTTGTATCAGTGGGTGATCGCACCCCTCGTGGTCCTGAGTTTTTTTTCATGTTCTTCCTCCTTCTGCTCCTCATTTGGACCATGGGGGGCTCAGTCCGGTGCTCCAATGTGGGTCTCCGTCTGTATCGCCATCCATCGTCAGATGAAGAATCTATGGTGATAAGCAAAATCTTCATCAGTATGGTTATAGGCCAAGGCCGGTTCAGGCACCCTCTCCTCTGTCCAGAGAACAATCTGGGGATCTCTCCTTGGACCTGGGATCCCATTTATAATCAAGTATCTTGTAAACCCTAAAATGATTCCCTTAGTTGAGATATATTCTTCCCTGATCCCATAACCATCCTTCCTCCCTCCCCCCATCTCAGTCCCCCGAGTTTTCCCCATTCCTCCCCTACTCCCTTCTCTCTAACCCTCTCCCCTTCCAACAACCTTCCTCGCCACCCCACGCCCCCCATGCACCCGAGGTTACCTGGGACTCTTGTCTATTTCCAATCTCCAGGAGGATAAGTACATGATTTTCTTCAGGTTCACCTTCTTATTTAGCTTCTCTAGGATCTCGAATAATAGGCTCAAAGACCTTTAATTATGGCTAGAATCCACTTATGAGTGAATACATACCATATTCCTCTTTTTGGGTCTAGCTTACTTCACTCAGTAAAGCGTTTTCTATGTCTATCCATTTGCAAGCAAAATTCAAGATGTCATTGCTTTTTACCGCTGAGTAAAACTCTAGTGTATATATGTTCCACACCTTCTTTAACCATTCTTCTATTGAGGGGCATATAGGTTGAAGTTTTAAAATTAAATATAATTGAATTTTTTAGTGATTTTTTTAAAAGAGGGAAGTTAAAGTTTCAGTAGCATTGTCTGACCTGGAACTCATTTATTAACTTGGCTATCCTCAGACTCTTAGCAGACCTCTGCCTCATCCTTCCAATGCTAGGATTGCAAGAGTGAGCCACCATACACTGTGGATCTTTCTATCTATCAGCTTTTGTCTTCATTGTGTGTCTTCTGTTTGCCTTAAGATGGAAAAGTTTCTTTAAAGATCACACATGTACATTCCTTTATGATTCTTTAAATATGCTATTTTATATTTTCATTTTAAAAATATATTACAGGTATGGAAGTTTTACCTGCATGTGTATCTGTGCACTGCTTAGATGCCTGGTTCCCATATAGACCAAAATCGAGCATCAGATACTCTAGAACTGGAGTTACAGATGGCTTTAGCCACTACATGGGTGCTGGGAATTGAACCTGGGTCCTCTGGAAAAGTAGCCGTAAAATGCTCTACAGTTCCTATATTTTTATTTTTAATCTACCTAGTATTTTTTTTATTAAGGAGTGGGGGTGGGGAATGAAGGAAAGGTGGAGATCTGGAGTATTTCTCATATTTTTAACAATACTCCATTGGTGTGGGACGTCCTTTTGTCTATGTGTTGCTTTTATTGGTTAATAAAGAAACTGTTTTGGGCCTGTTGATAGGGCAGAACTTAGGTAGGCAGGGAAATGCTTGGAGGAAAAAAGCAGAGTGAGAGGAATGTCTTCGATCTGCCATGGGAGACAGATATGTTGAATTTTATCTGGTAAGTCACTCCTTCGTGGAGATACACAGATTAATAGAAATGGGTTAAATTAAGATTTAAAAATTAGCCAAATAAGAAACTAGGGCTAATGGTCCAAGCAGTGATTTAATTAATGCAGTTTCTGTGTATTTATTTCTGGGGCTAAGCTAGCTAGGAAGCCAGGATGAACAAGCAGACCCTCCTTGTAACAATTGCCTCTCCTATATGGTCAATTATATCCATGTAAAACCTGAAAAGCTTAAAAATCTACTCCCACTTTCTCAAATATTGTTTATAAATATTCTTTTACATTTAAAGGGGATATGATATAAATATAAATAATTTGCATTGGTATGGATCTTGGTTTATTGATACAAATTTGAGGTCAATTTTGTTATATGTTTATATATTTCTGCTCTTGATTGGGGTATTGTGATTGTGTAGTTCATTTAAAGAATGTAATATATAATTAAAAAATATAGTTCAATAGATAATCTTCTATAATAGTCAAGCTTGTAGTCATGTTAGTTAGATTTTCTAAATATATAGAGATATATTTCAGTTAGTTAGGTATTCTTCAAATCTTTCAGAGTCATTCAGAATATGCTATTTAAAATGTTTAAGAACTTAAGACTTTTCACGACAATGAGACACATCGGCTCCTGGCAGCACCAAGCTACTTCAAATGATGATGGGCATTAAAGAGGCTTCTTATGAAATTGGTTAGCCATTTGGGCAAGAAACTGCTCTTGCCTGGACTGTTTCCCTGAACATACAGGATCCACAGAGAAGTGACTGCTGAACTTACCTAAAGGTGAGATGATCCTTCTTGGTTCCTGCTTCATAAAAGAGTATGCAAGGCATTCTGTAGGATAAATAAAAAAATGACTAAATTGTCTTTAAAACTTCCTGCTTCTTGGAAAAGTCTGCTGGATACTATGGGCCTGTAGGCTAAAGATGGATGCCCCAATGGTACAAAAAAATCTTTGGGTGCCTGTCAAAGTAGCAAGATGTCTCTGTCATTTCTAGAGTTTTGAAAGTTGCTTACAATATACTTCCTGTTTACTTAGGTAATATATCCTTTTGGAGTCTTGGATGGAGTTAAAGAATTTATTGATTCCATAAAACAATCCCACCTGGTTCAGAACTAGGATAATAAAAGGGGTTATTTATTTAAGGGGAAAAACTTACAGATCACTGTCCTAAACAACAGTCGTCTGAGAACAAACAGGAAACAGAGTCTAGTAGTCAGAATGGGAGATGGAAGCAGGAGAGAGGGCACATCGTTCCTTCTGCTTTTTAAACTATTAGAGACCACACCCAAGTAGGCTGGTATATTAAAGGCTATTGGCTGAAGGAGCAGAATGTGCTCTCACAGCACCTTCTGTTTTTGTTTAAATAAGAGAGTTCCAAACCCAATACAAAACTATAAACACTAGGAACAGATATCAAGAATAATTAGAATGACAACCAGCATAAACAATATGAAGAAGAAACATATGCTAAATGTTTTAATAAACATTCTATCCTATGGAGTCTAAGTCTTGTATAGGAAATGGCTTGACTAGATCATAAGAGTATAGTAACTATGACTATCTAATCTTCAACCCCACCGAAGGCCTGAGAAGGGAGATAGTACTACTTGAGCAGACAGGAAGTACAATCAAGTAGCTTCCAAAGAGAGCAATATATGATGGAGACAATTAGCTACCTGAGCAATCACCCAACTGATTTAATTCAGAAGACTTTTCTATTATCTAATATCTCTCTGCTGTTGTTGTCCCTTTCTTATTTGCATTAAGAAAATTCAAGGTGAAGAGGCCCTGCTTCTGAACAAGGAGATCCATCCAGAGAAGTAAGTATGTGCCCGCCTGGCCGGCCAGACACCCTAGGAATGGAGTACAGGCACCCTCCAATTCCCTAAACATTCCTGACCATTCAGTGGGTTGTGTCCCTGGCTACCGGCTTTCTCTATTTGCCCCATTCTATCTTGCCACTAAGCACTCCTGGCCATCTTCGGAGTCCTTAGATCCACCACCACAGCCTACTTCAGGTGGAAGGGATCTGAGAGCCAACTCCAGTTCTGAGGGGACCTAAGATAGGGCAGACCAAGAAAAAAACCCCAAGTACACAGTTAGCCACAGCAAAGATTGGATCAAGATTCCAAGACTCTCCTGACCACATCTGATGGAAGAGATGGGCAGGCGCCAATGTAAGAATTCCTCCAACAACCTGAAAAGCAACATGATAACACCAAGAATCCAGCGAACATGCAACAGGAAGATTTGAACGCCCTAATCCAGAAGAAGACTGGTTACAAATCAGACGAATTGAGTAAGGTGGAACAAAGCCATTCTTATGGGGCTTAGGGATTTTAAAGAATCTCTTTATATAGTTACTGATTCACAATATGCAGAAAGAGTTATCTTTCATATTGAAACTGCTGAATTTATACTAGATGATACAGAATTGACCTCATTGTTTATCCAGGTACAAGACATAATCAGGAATAGGCTTTGTCCTATGTACATAATACACATCTGATCCCATATGGGTCTGCCAGGCCCTCTAGCACAAGGTAATGAAGAAATTGATCAATTATTGATTAGAAGTGTGTTGTAGGCCTCAGAATTTCATAAAAACATCACATCAATAGC